AATAGTTGAGGCCTACGTGCTTAAATTTACGACCACTTAAACCAAAGGGGGGCCCAAAATGTATATCTCAACGATTGCTTTAATAGGTCATTTGCGAATGCGCATTATGAAAGCACCGTATGATATGGTGCGGAACGAGCTTTTTATTGGGGCCAGAGGAAGTATGTCATCGTCAAGCGGAAAAGTCGATAGACAAACGTCCTAAAGCAACTGCCGGGTTATGAGATATTGCACTGTTGTGAAGTTTGAACCGAAATAACTTGAAAGTTTGAAGGCTTGGTGCATTCTTGCATTTATTCTCGGCATAAATGCTGCAACCATGTCGGGATGCGCATGTCGCGATTTGCGGTGGCGTAGCGCTGTACTGTAACTGTATACTGAGAGACATACACACATCACTTACTTATAACTGAAGTTATATTGATGGTTGGTTCATTAGCAAGTTATCGATGTGCATGCGTCTTATTTTTCAGCCCCTGTTGTGTAGTGCCACGTCGTATAAGTGACGAATGCATGACCGAAATCAATGGCGTTACCCGAGATGAAGAAATGTTCATGTGATCTATACTATGGCATGAATGTCGTAACATGCGTATACTATCATATATCAACACTGACGCACACAGCACAACTGACGTGTCATAGATGTCTTTAGCGTCCGGTCTCCTCGATTTGGTCGCACTTGCTGGACGTAGTTCACGAAAGTGTCGTGCCAGTGCCACGCCACTTCCTCTACTGTCAGTGCAGAATGACAAGCGGTTTTGTCGCAGCGGTCAAATCGAGGGTGGAAGTTCAGCCACGCTGTATACCTTGCGCTACTTGCATGAGACGTTAACTCGCAGGGAAGCTAGTGCTGAAGTGCCGATGTACTCTTGAAGCACGACGTAAAAAGTGCGCAAGTGCTTGTGGTGCGAACTGCACTCGCCAAATCGAGGGCTAAAGTGCAGCACTCTTGAACTATACTGCAGAAAGTGCAGCCTTGCACATCGAGGAGATACCAGAAGGCGTGGGCATGTCAATTGAACTCCAAAACCGACTCTATTCCAAATGCCAGAAGTAGTGGGAGGTCTCGCTGATAACCCTGGCCTCAGGTTAACTGGCTGGTGGTGGGGGCCAACGTCACAGCCCATAAACAGGAGTGATAAGCTAGGCAGCGCACCCACACGTAGAAAAGTTCTTTTCGTGGTATGGCGTCAAAGAACGCGTTTAATTCCGGTGTCGGCGTCGGTGGTTGTGAGCAAAAATTTTTTTTTTCTGATCAGAATAAGGTACAAATATAAATATTTCCAGTTCAAAATAAAATCGAACCCTTGGCATGCAGGTGTTCTATCATGAATCCACGCTACTGCTTGGAACTGCATCAGGGGAAAAAAAAACTACATGCCAGGTACTGCGAATGCTATACTGTGTGGCAGAAGCATAGAATCGCGCAAGGCGACGAAACGTGTGGATTGCGCAGTGGGCGTTTTAGTGATCCACCCATTACAAAGCGCTCGAGCATATTTAATCATCACCAGCTGAAAATGTACCAACTTTCTCCCTATACATCAAACGCTGGTTTCATGGCCAATCCCCCGAAATAGTCAGAGCCATTCACATGGGCCAAGCAAGCAAGCTATAGCATGTTGTCTTACGGATAGGTAGTGGGCCTTACGCTAATTCACAAAGAGATGAATCGTGGTGTAGTGTGCATTTAATAACTTGCACTAAGCATTATCGTTGGGAACGGTCAATGTTTAGTCGTTTGTGTCCTTCGGTTGAGGCATGCCCCGAGAACAGAATCCTAGCAATTAAGAAGGCGATGCGCTGTCACAGAACGAGCGCTAAAAATGAGCGCGCCGCCAAATTCTTGCGACAACGGGCGGGAGAAACGCCGCGAGGTCAAAAGAAAAAAAAAGAAAACAAACATCCAAGGCTCCCGGGCGCGCGCTCTCCCCGCAGAAGCATGGCTTCGCAGACGAACCTCCTCACCCCGCATCGGCGGCCCAGCAAGCCCGCAATTTTTCTAGAACGAACGGGGCGTGGTCAAACCGAGTTGAATCATCCTCCGGGGAGGGCAGTCGAACCGTCTCGCACCTCTCCCCAGCCTTCGTTGCGTATCGCGCCGACGAAATGACGAGAAATTTCTGGAAGGTGGCGCGGAAGGTATTTAATCGAGCGGCCGAGACGAGAAGGCAGGAGGAGACGGAAGTTAACGCCAGAGCGCGTAGGGATTCCGCCGTGTAGTCGGCGAAGGTTTTGGTCCGTAGGGACGAAGCCGGAGATGAAGAGGATTTCCACCTGAGGGGTGAAGGCTCGGGCTACAGGCAAGAGCGTGTGTTTACCGCTATCGAGCGAAGACCCGTGGCAACAGCTGCGGGTGTGAAGCCGACGTGTTCCGGCGAAGACGTTGAAGTTTGAAGAGTGGCCAATTGAAGACGGGAGGTTTCCTGGAAGAGAAACTTCGAGGACAGCGGAACGGCAACAACGCTGGACTTTGAGTGAGTGATTCTCGGAAGAGTATCATTCAGACTTTGGTTCCAAGGACTTTGGACTGAATAGGTTTTCTATCTCTTTAGTCTTTAAGGGTCTTGGTTGTTCAATGCATGCGACTGCATTGTAGTGTGTACTGTTGTCTGTGTCCGTTGTTCGAGTGTGGCTAATTGTACTGGGTAGTGTGTTGATTGATTGGTGACATATTGTACTCAGCTATTGTGGAGTGAACATCTGCCATTATTGAGAATATAATTTTGTTTGTTTATCAACTCTCGGCTCTGACTTGTTCTTTGGGCCACAGCCGGCGTCCGCTGGCGCACCAAAAAGGACCACTTCTAAATTGTCCACGCTTTCGTGGTGCGGTTCGGGGGGGGGGGGGCGATACATCGGCTCTTGGAATTAGCCCGGCGATTGCCTCCCTAATAAACGGGACAGGTGTGACAATTAATCTGGCGTCCGCGAAACAGGACCTTTTGGTGCACAGTGTGTCCAAAGTAGTGAGAAAGAGCCTCGAGTTGTGATAGTGCTATCGGAACGATTTTGTGTGTTGTTCAGTGTTCTCGTTAACGAGTGCAGGGGAGTGTTCCGAAAGACTGATTTAGGCAGATACTTTTTATACGCGGCAAGACTATTTGTGAGACACCATGGATCTCGAAAAGTTAGTTGCTCTTGGTGAGAAGATGGGTCTTGCTGGCGCCGAACTACGGAAATGGGTAAGCCAGAAGGAGAAGGAGGCGGTGGAGAGAGAGAGGTTGGCAGCTGAGAGGGCCAAGGAAGAAAGAGAGGCAAAGGAGCGGCAGCTGAAGGAAGAAAGAGAGCAACAATTGAAGTTGGAGCTGGAGAGAGAAAAGTTGGCAGCTGAAAGGGCGAAGGAAGAAAGAGAGCAGCAATTGAAGTTAGAGCTGGAGAGAGAGTTGTTGGCAGCCGAAAGGGCGAGAGAGGAAAGAGAAGCGAGGGAGCGACAGCTGAAAGAAGAAAGAGAAGCGGAGATGGCTGAAAGGGAACGGCAGCGGCAGCACGAGATGGAACTCGAGCGGCTCCGTTTGCAACAGCGAAGCGAAACTCCCGTCCAAGCTAGAGTTGAAAGTAGCGAACGGGAAGATCACGGCTTCCGCTTGAACCCAAGCAAGCTGCTCGTAGCGTTTGATGAAAGGAAGGACGACCTTGACGCGTACCTTCACCGATTTGAGACGATTGCGAAGAGCCAGAATTGGCCGGAACATCAATGGGCAACTGCTTTGAGTACTTGCTTGAGTGGTGAAGCGCTCAGTGTGTACGGTAGGCTGACGCCGACCGATGCAGCCAACTATGCAAAGGTGAAGGCTGCTTTGCTGAAGCGATTTAGATTTACCGTGGAAAGATTCCGGGACAGATTTAGGACAGGAAAGCCAGCTGATGGGGAGACGGCTACGCAGTATGCCGCCCGACTTTGTCATTATTTCGACAGATGGATTGAACTTTCAGGGACAGCGCAGGAGTACTTGGGCGCAGGAGTACTTGGGAGTTCTTTGGGCCACAGCCGGCGTCCGCTGGCGCACCAAAAAGGACCACTTCTAAATTGTCCACGCTTTCGTGGTGCGGTTCGGGGGGGCCGATACATCGGCTCTTGGAATTAGCCCGGCGATTGCCTCCCTAATAAACGGGACAGGTGTGACATGCGCATGGGACGCTATTACCCTATGTCGTTCTACTCTTAAAGGCGAAACTCGAGTTCCTCTCCGTTCGACCTCAATATTCTGTATATATTGATATATCAAAAATCTTTGATGTGTCAATTTACCAGCACCAGCTGTAATTTTTCTAGCCGTTAGCTAACAATTCAGTATTGTTGGCTATTGCTCTGATACAGCGGCAGATTCAGCCACTTTTTTAAGGGGGGGGGGGTGCGTCAGCTAAGGTAACACTGGAGAGGGGGACGTAGTCATGACTTTTTTGTTTTTGCTAGCGGAAAAACCCCTTCATAGCACAATTAAATACTGTTAATGTGTGCTCACAGTGGTGTTACTTATTTGTCCTAAGTGATGATCGGAGGTGGACTACGAGCACAGAATTGATGGGGAGGGGCGCTAGTAGATTTTTTTTTCTGGGTGGGGGAGGCTATCTTCCCTACAACCCCCCCCCCCACACCTCTGGATCCGCCAATGCTCTGATATAATGTAATAAGCGAAAGTACAATTGTGTATACGGTTTTCCGTTACACTCTATAGAATTGCTCGACTTTGTCGTGCCGACAAGTGATGGGTACAAGAGGAATGTCAACGCGATAACGTAATTAAAAGCGAAAATACTAAGTACGACGCGGCATTAAGATGCGCCACTGTATTCATTCAGATTGAATCGAATTGAGTTACCTTGTTTTTTTTTTTCCTTAGACGCCGATTCATTTGGAGAAGACCGATTTAACTGTTTGCATTCATAGCATCCGTGCGTAACCGGCGATTTCGGTACAGTGGCTGAAAACAATGTTTAATGAAAAAGGGCGGCTGGCGTAGATGAGCCCGTCTAGCACACCACCACCAGGATATTCAACGGCCTTTCTCGGATGGTCTGCGCGTTCGCGTTCGCGCCTTGGGCAGGAACACCGCGGTGTGCAGCGTCGCCTCCTCGGTGTTGTCCGTGAGCCGAAACGTCGAGGCCGGCTCCTCTTCTTCGGTGGTGGTCTTGGCCGCCGCCGCGGCCCGCCTGGCCTGTCGCGCTTCCGGACTGGACTCCACGCGCTGACGGACCTGGCAGCGAGTTCGGGACACAGAACAGACAGTTTAAGCCCGGCGCGCGCGCGCCACGTTTACCTTGTGGCTGCGGCACTGAGGAGTGGCGAGGTTCCGGCATAGAGCACTAGTGTGACCAAGCATGTTAAAGAAATTTTCTAGCCTCGTTGTTTGCGACAGCGCTGTTTTGCCAGTACAATGTTTGCGATTGGATAATGGTTGTGGTCTTATCAGAGATATTCTCATGTTTTTATAAAAATGCCATATGTATTCAGGTTAGAGCACAGTGCCAAACTATAGGCTGGTGCACACCGGCGACTAGCAGCGGTCGCACGACCATTCGCGACTGGTCGCTAACAGTCGCGAACGGTCGCAAACGGTCCCAAAGCGACTGCTTTGGTCAGTCGCGTCCTGACCGATTTTTCAGTTGCGCGACTGCAGTCACAAAGCTGCTGAAACCAATCGTCGATGCTCAATTTTTGTTCTTTTGTTGTTGTTTTTTTCAACACTGCGCGAGAACAGACGAAAACAATAAATGCGGCGCACTCGGTTCGTTCCGTTCACTCAGCTGGCGGCGATCAGCTGATCGGCGCCGGTCTCCAGAGTTAGCCACCCTACCAGAGTTCTCGTTGATAACGAGATCCGGACGTGACTGTTCAGTTTTGTGATTTCCGGTCGCTCGCATGCAGCCTCTGCCGGTGTCAACGTCAGTCGCTTTTTAGTCGCCAGTCGCGAATGGTCGCGCGACCACTGCAAGTCGCCGGTGTGCACAAGCCTTAAGTCATTGTTGCACGTTTGGGCGTGCTGGTAAGCAATAGCGTAGTAAAGATTACGGCCACACACAAAAAGAAAAAAAACGCGTGCTGGTACATGCCATCGGCATCAGCATAATAATTCATGATATGCTACAGTTTTGGTAACATCACGGGATATAGACAGTAGTAAATAGGGCAGATACACCAAGGGGAAAGTTCAAGAAATGCAACTTAGGTGCGTAAAGGTCCAGGCGTTCATTCAGCCCCTCATGTACGAGAGGTGTTATGCACGCTACATGAAGTAAAGCTTCCGGACGCAGCACTTTGCTCTGACGCACCTATATACTCATCTAATGCGATATTGGCCAATATTTTGGCTGTGTAGCAGCTGATGTCTTGATACACTCGCTTGTCCGTATTGTGTGTATTCTGTAATCTATTGCGGTGCTGACAACAATCAATGAAACGCCGGGTTCTCGGTTACACGTAAGGCGGATCTATTTGAAAGACGATAGACTTTCACGGGATACTTCGACGCAAAATTTTTGGTCTGTCGACTTGTCTGTTTGTGCGTCTTCTGAAACGGCCAGACTCCAACCACATCCACAGCGCCCACCAATATTGATCTGGATCTGGCGTCCATACTTGCGCGTATATTCAATTAAAAGGAAATATTGCGTGTATCTGAGGCACAGCCTTAACACTTAAGTATCTGCAGCGTTTTTCTTGATACTATAAGAGACATACATAAGTACCTTTAAGGAGCGTTTATACGCTCCGCTGACACTGCAGTGCTATGCACGTAAAAGTGGGTGTATCCTGCGCTTTGCTAAGACGATAGAGTGGTGGCCACACCTACCCACCACCTCGCATTCTAGAAATTATGGCTTCCGAGATCGTGCGCACACGCTGTGCTCTCACTATGTCGGAGGCTATCGTTTCGTTTTCCAAGATTTCTGCCAGATGGCACTCATGTCTCACGAAGCGCCTCCAGAATCCCATTCAACAATTTTCTCGCGCAGAACATCAAATAAATGTTTTATTCACTTTCTCTTGACGCTAGGCTATCGTCTTTCGACAGCATTCACACTTAAATATGCAGATATGGGGTCAATTTTTTCCTGTGCGCAATACATCTAAATGTCTGGAGTGCATTGTATGCATTGCTCCCATAATTTTGAAGTAAATCTTATAGTAACAAGTATGAAGCGGAACCTTATCATTTTACCTGAGGCAATCGCGCGTACAATATTCAACATGATCATTTACAGCTGCAACAGGAATCTGTCGCTTTCTAGCGTTTGACACAAGATTTTTATGTTACTTGCGCCTAAAGCGGACAGCGAAGTCAGTGGAGTGTAGAAATAAAATTATACATTTTAAAGCTTGAGTTTTGCACACACAAAAATTCAAATTGTGGTTATGCACCGAGCTATACGAAACCAAATGGCCAAATTAATGACGACGACAGGTCACTCAATGAACCCTGATTGGTCAGATCAAAGGGAAGCTACGTGAATCAACAACAATGCCACGTTGAATTGCCGGGATAAGTTATAGTTTCATGTTCTAGCTTTGACGAATTTAGCGCACTAGGATTTCTATTGTAGAAACGATCCATCAAGAACGCGCCTTCGGTATTCTGCACCACTAGCCCATTCATGTGTAGTGCCATGCTGGAAGCATAAATTGATTGGGAGGTTTAGAATAGCCAATTGCAAGCCCTTGCGGTGCTGTCACTGTTACTGCGCATGCGTCGTAACGCGAGCCGCCGTTCGCGCTTGCGGCCCCGTCCACAGAAATTCCGAAATAGCATGAAGCGATCACGGCCCGCGAGGCCCGCTAAGTGCTGTGTGTAGCTTCCGTGCATTTGGGTTTGTGGTCGAGGCGAAAGTCGCTATACTTTTCCCTAGGGGGAGCAAACGCTATTCTAAATCTCGTATGACGCCCGCAACGCCTTCGAACGTTATTCTAAGCCTCCCTAATTGTTACCAGCTGTTGTACTGCATAACGTATACATACTGAAAATGTCCTTTGTGCTGTACAGGCGTGTTTATTAAATAAGACTTATAATGAACGGCAGATTGCATTCTTACCTCACATTTATCGCCATTTTTAAACTTGTCCGTATCATTTGATTTATATAGTGTTTGAACACTGCTTATAATTACTGCAAATTATTTCTACGCGTAAAATATAAAAGCCTTAAAAGCTATAACCAATAGAAAATTTCAATGCCCACTGGCTTTACAGTAATCCGCAAAACGCGCATCTCGAAAACGATTGCCTTCGTGACCAACGATAGCAGCTCAAGTCGCGTGAAGTGAAGCGTCGAAATTAAATCGCATAACATTTAACACAATCGGGCCTGACGTATGTCATTCCCAAAGTAAGTTTTCACGCCTGCACAAGTTATTTATAGCCTAAAATTGATCTCTAGAGCTGTCTTTGATTTGCGTTCAGTTCTTAATATGCCCGTATTACAATGCGAAATGTAAAATGAGGTGTCGTGCTAGTTAGTCTATTATGCAGATATGACGCATGCATGTTAATGCCCAAAGTTCTTTGTAAAGAAATAACCAATGATGCGTTTTATTATTTGGCGGTTTTTTGAAAGCGCAAAACATAGTAAGTAATTTTTTTTTTTTGCCTTCACTGCTGTATTGACCGGCACGCGGGCGAAGCACTCCCTCAAGTCATCTTTGAATGGCTTTTCCCTTCGTCTCCCACTCCATTTGTTGTTAACAAGCACATGGTTTCAACCAATTCATATTAAAAGAAAATGTGCACCTGGAAGAAGGCGGCAACCGCCAAAGCGACGATGACCACGAAGGCGACGGAGAGAATGACCGCTGGGTTCGGCCCGGGTCTCGGGCGGTTGTCCGCGACGGGCCACGGCGGCGGAGTAGGAGGCACCGATACCTCGGACGACGACCGTTTCACTGTGCCTTTGGATTTAGTGGTCTTGGGCTTCTTCTTGCCAGGCTGTTTAGGAAGAGGTGGTGGCGGCAGGGTCGGCGGCGGTGGTGGTGGCAGGGGCTGTTGGTACATGGCCAACGCTGCTGCCGGCGGCAGCGGCAAGCTGCGGTGAGGGGCTGCCATCGCCTTCTTCAGGTATCGGTGGACCTTGAGCGACTGGCAGCAGCCAGTTAAATAGCGGGCATGTTGTTTCTTTGTTTGTTTTCCCTCTGCAGATGGCTCGTGCCCACTATTGACTGAGTGGCTGTCACTCGTGTTGAATTAGAGAGAAGTGTGTGGTCTTCATTGACAAGAAACGCGACAAATATATGGGAAAGCAGTACGAGCGATTGAAATCTGTATAATTCACTTAAACTGGTTTGAAAGGCATATATTTGTACAAACATGATGCAATTAATTATATCAACAAGCGTCTCAGTGAAAATGCCAAGAAAGAGGGTGCCTGTAGAGAAAGGGTGTAATATACTGAAAATTTTTTGCACCACCGAATAAAAAAAACGCTGTAATCCGCGAAATCAACGTTATAGAGCTACATTTCCCATACTGCAATGTGTGAGGAGCATTCAAGCGTTTCATGCAGCGAGAACATATGCCGACCCAAACCTCCTCACTAAAGCGTGTGGGGCTGTGATTTTCAAGCCAGACCTGGTCAACCACTGCCAACTCACCCACAGGCCAAGCGGGATGTCCACTTATCAAAAAACATCTTTTATTTCCTGTCTCCCCATTTTCTAAACGTCACCTCTCTCTCTCTCTCGTGTGTGCGTGCGTGCGTGCGTGTGTGTGTGTGTGTGTGTGTGTTCGTGCGTGTGCGTGCGTGCGTGTGCGTGCGTGTGCGTGCGTGCGTGCGTGTGTGTGTGTGTGTGTGTGTGTGTGTGTGTGTGTGTGTGTGTGTGTGTGTGTGTGTGTGTGTGTGTGTGTGTGTGTGTGTGTGTGTCCTCTTGCCCAACATGACTCCTGTGTAGGATCTTTCTGTCTTCCGACACCTTTTTGCCTGAAGTATAATACTCGACTGCCATCCAGTCGGCCCGGGTTCAAGTACCACCTGATGCTGCATTCTTCTCTTTCTCTCCTTTTTTGCGATAGCGGTTACGGATGCCAGTGGCAACGACGGCGGCGGCGAACAACTGCGGCACTGACATAGGTTGTTTCTGTGATCTAACAGCTTCTTCTGTAAATACTTCAGTACAAAGAACAATGCTTTCTGCCTCGCTTTGATGCCAACTGGCATTATTGTGATACTCTAAATGTCTATAGGTAGGAACGAAAAATTATGACTTGATACAAGTGCAGCATTGACCAAATTAGGATAGAACATTCGCCATGCATGCTTTCATCTTCGCATGACGCAACACGGACACGTTGTTGCTATCATGGTACTCTGCCAGCCTAGCACATTTATTACAAAGGTGATATGATAATATTCCATTTATAAACAAACCGTACCAAAACGATAGGTCATAAAATATTTCGAGCTCACTCAGCCTCAGTCGTAAAACATACCTTGCCCTTAAAGCTCATCCGGGCTCATAGCTATCAATTTTTTTATCAGCTGGACTTATTCGGACTCAGGCTCACCTAAATCTTCATCAATCACACTCACTCGAACTCAAACTCACCAAAACGTTTGTGACTTGAACTCACTCAGGCTCAGACTCACAGGTTTACCATCGTTAAGTGAGTCAACTCATGAGTGTGTTAGCAAACCATTAGCTGTTTTGTCCAAGGAGTCGCTGTTTTTTAATTCCGATATTTTAACTCCTCTCGCATAAGTGGTGCTCTACTTGATACTTTTTAGCTGGTATCTTTTAAGTACGTGTTATCAGTGTTCGAATCTACTAGGGACATTTTTACGAAAAGTGATGACTCACACAATATGTCTTTACCAAGAACTTCATTTGAAAGCGATTGTGGGCAGAGTCAAGCCACCCACCTCCCTCTCCGTAATCCACGCGTATCTTCATTTAGTAGACAGGTTTAGTAGGGTGTTCGAAGTAGCTCTGCGGACACAGCCCACTAGTCATTTCGCACGGCATACTGCGTCCACAGAACCTATGCTGATGCTCAAGTAAATCTGCCTAACATCGAGCAGGCGTATTAATGCCACCGCGTTGACGTGTGAGTAGACATGATTAGTACGAATATGAGCCGACATACAGCTGAGAGCAAAGCTGAAGTTTAGTAGATAGGACGAGTGGTTGGTGAAACTGTGTGGACCTGACTCAGACTCACTCATGAATTATACCTCGCCCTTAAGGCGCCTTCGCACTCGCGCTGGTCAAAGTTTTCCTCAACCGGACTCGTTCGGACTCACGCTCACTAAAAGTTTTCTCAATCGAGCTCACTCGGAATCCCACTCATTAAAATAATTCTGACCCGGACTCACTCCAGACTCCTACTTACGGCTTCATCTGAATGAGTTGGCTCGTGAATGAGTTTGTCGACCTACGATTGAATGCACATGATATTCATCTGTTTCCACTGCAGTAAGCGTTTTCCTGCGGGAACTCTCTAATCGGATATCAGGTACACATTACTGTAAATTAATGCGGTCACTGACCCCTTGAATGGGTAATATTTGAAAATTAAAATATTAGGGACAGAGGAAAGCATAAGTGTATTGCAGCAGCCGAGAATGAAAATGCATGTAATTATGCCTGCCTCTTATTATAACATATAGTTTATTGATTTTACCAGAAAAAGAAAAATGCTCATACTGCTATCATCTACCATTCTACAAATTGAGTTGTCTTTTTTTCCTTCTTTTTCTTCTTTTTTTTCTTTTCTTTCTCCTTCTTCTTCTCCTCGGTCGTCTCCGCCTTTTTCGTAGTAGTTGTGCCGTCAGATGCTGAAGACTCAGTGCTCCATGTGTCCCTTGTCTCCTCGTTGCTCCATGTGTTCATTGTCTCCTCGTTGCTTCTTGTGCTTGCTGTTGTAAACATTACTTCAGTAGTGGCAGGAGGGGCACCAGTCGTCACATTTTCCGGCAGGTGATTGTAGCATAAACCATCATAGCACGTTCCATTTACATCGTCGTTGTACTAAAATAAAATAAAATGAGAAATAGTTTATTAAGCTTAAACAAAATTTGAAGTGGCGGATTAGTATTTGCCAGGCAGAAACCACAGTAGGTCACATAGAGCAATGTGTACACCCGGTTTCGTACAATGGTGGGTGAGAAGAGCTTTAGAAAATAGCCTGCAGGTTTTCTACAGTTTCCTTCCCTTGTATGGCAAGATATATTCAAATAAATGCTCTTTTGAGCTACACAAAATGTGAAGAAATTTCCTTGAGCATTAAACACGTTTCTTTTATCTGAAAAACTACAGAGATACATTCCTTACCTTTGAAAAAAATCTGAAAACTTGCTTTCAGTTTCGAAGTTAGGAGCTGGTAAATGAGGTGACCGGAAGTTCTTTGGGGTACACCGCTTGCAATCTAGATACCGCCTATATGCGTGTGTACATAAAGGCGTGCATCTACATGTTTGCCATATAATTTTGCTTATATCTTCAACACAGTGCAAAAAAAAAAAAAACTCGCGTGAACTACACTTAAATTGCAGAGACGCCTCTTCTACGTGGACCGTAAGGGAAAGAATGAGCAACGCAACACAAGAGCGACTGCCGCCGGGATTCAATACACGAAAGAAAATATGGATAATGCGGCCTTCCTATTAACCTAAAAAGAAGACATAGCTCCGGAACAGTACACGCAAAAAATATTCGCTGATGCAAGCGAGATGGCATACCACTTTCGACAACACCATACCGCTGCGATGCGCTTTTATTAAAATTTCATTGCGTGATCATCACTCAATGTTCCTGCTTAGCTTGACTAATTGGCAGCATTTCCTGTGAAACAGGTGCGGTCAGTTTTGATATCACCGCCAAAAATATTAGTATCAGAAATTACGCGCGAATTTCGGGACTGCTAAAAAAAACGAGTATGTGGTAAATTATTCTAGACTGCAACTTTCCCATAAAAACAACCGCCCTCAAACCAACAATTAAAAAAGCTAGTCAATGAAAAACTAGTCAATGAGTATTTGTTAATGAGCCAGTTCTCTGTCATTGTATCTGCGGCAAGGCATTTCTGCTTCGACGTGGATTTCCTATACGAAAATCACAGGAGCCTGACTTTCATGGGTTTTCTTTTTTTTTCTTTTTAGCGAAATTTATATTGTCGGAAAAATATGCTCCACATATCACATAAAAACAACAAGAAAAAACACCAGGCCTGCGCAGAAAGTACCACACAGCCACAGCAAAAGCTTCAAAAACGCCATTTCTAGAACCCGTAAAACGAATCTCTCGGGGCTATACTAATCCAAGTACGCTTGCAAGGTATACCCACTAGTATACATTATTCGATTCGGTGGCTGATGAGAATGAAATATTATATCTGAGCACTGTGTAATGGGTTGGAAGCACTCAATGACTCATTGCTAACACAATGTATATTGTGTGACGCCTCGTTACAAAATTCGGATTCTGTGACACCTGGTCATCATTTATTCTTCTAGCCCGCTATACTACGTATATATATTAACGCAGTTCCTTCTCAACATAGCGCTTGTATAGAGTATTTGTGACGGTAGTTACGAACACTGGCATGCACTTGTCGTAGAATATTATTGGGCTATCACGGAAAGGACCTCGAACTCCGTTCCGACATGAATATTTTTTTTATTTAGTTTTTTTTTCGATGTCCATTACGCACAACGGCGTCGGCGGCGGACAACCACGGCACCTTTGTTGTGATTTCATGACAGCTTGCACTGTAATAAGACGCGTTGATGAGCCCTTACCGCCGGAATAAAAGCCCAGAGGTGCACCTTAAAAGTACAAAATAAGCTTGCCATGAACGTGGGCATGCAACAAAGGCAACTTTCACAGCATTGGCACTTTGCTAAAATGTCCCTGAAGCTTGGAGTCCCCTATTTGGTGGGCAGCTACATTAAAAAAAAAAACATCCATGTGTTGCGAACGCCTAAAAGTTGAATAATGCAGAAAACTAGAAATGCTTACCCAGCATTTGGTAAAATTCATATAATATGCCATGAGCCATCCACGTCCATCTGGACAGAAGTGAACACAACGGTGCGGGTATGGATCCTGCACAGAAATCAATCAGCAGCTACAATGATATCATCATTTGCATGCCAACTGGGTTACCATTACCACGGCAGCTGGATGCAAACGCTCCGGTTTCGGCCTGTACTGCTTGCTCTGGAAACGACATGGCGGCACTCCCTGGCTACCACCGCAGTGTCACCGGGGGAGATGGAAGCCGCGAGCGCAAGTGGAATGAAATGTACCGCTGTATTTATACTTTGACACATGAAACTTGCTAAGACGCGGGTAATTTTACTTTAATGTCTTAATGTGTACATATCCGTTAATTACCACTCTTGCTTGGAGATAGCTGCAGCTATTGGGCAAGTTCCGGGCTTGCCCTGCCCGAAATGCAACTTTGCGAAGTGATCACCTTTCACGGAAAATGTAATCGTACGTATATTTTGCTAGTACTATTTAGGATCACGGCCAAGGAATTTAATGTTGTTCCGCTTTCTTACTACAAGAAAATTCTTAATCGAGCTCTTAGTTTATGCCGTAAGCTTTAATTGTTACGCTCAAATAAAAAGGACCTTAAAAATCACCGCCGACACTGTTTACGTAACACCAAATGAGCTAAATATTCTTAATTTCAAACGCGCTCGCATTACACACACGGGAAAGCATCACACACCACGGCAAAGAACTACTGTTTAGCATACGTGTGCGATCATCTCATCAAAGAGGATTCGGGCCACTTAGAAGAAATTTCCCTGCGTGATGGCTTTCAGTCTACGTCAAATTTGCATAGGATGAAATGAGAACAAAAGACATGAATTCAACTTATTGAATCAGTGCTGCTCCCGGCAATTGTTCCTTCTTTTTTATTTCAATGCATACGCTTGCACCAAGGCCATCAATTCGCCCTACAGTCTGAAAATGAAAACTTTTCTTTATAGTGTGTGCGTGTGCGTGTGCGTGCGTGCGTGCGCGCGTGTGTGTGTGCGTGCGTGTGTGTGTGCGTGCGTGTGTGTGCGCGTGTGTGTGCGCGTGTGCGTGCGTGTGCGTGCGTGTGTGTGTGTGTGTTTAAGGAACAACTTTTCAAACCTGCTAAGCCGTTTTATCGACGCTGCAAGCTCAGTTGCAGCGAAATTATAAAATTGAAGTGGATGATAAATTGCATTTACGTCACTAGATACCACCGAGACAAAGGGTGATTTTTCGTCCACTTCAATTTCTTTCAAATAACTTGAATATTATTGCAATAAATCTAAAGAAAAAATAAACAACATCCGTTATGTGTATACCTTTGTTTCATTGTCTGTCGGTATCATTAGCTGCAGTGTGATCAACGAGCATGGAAATAGGCTTTGGAGACGTTCACACATTTTACCTAAAAAATTGAAATGCTGCAACACTTAAATTGGGTCGCCAGTTCATGTGCATCTCTTGTTCTAAGAGTAAACTCCACAACAACAACAACAAAAAAAAAACCTTTTTGACGACATCTTTCAAGGTGGTTCGGCTTTCTTTTTTTTTTTATTGCTGAAGAAATCGTACACTGCCTTTCAAATCTGACAAACATGAACTTGCTTCCAATTATTTAAAAAATAAATAAAAGAACAGCGTATGAAGCTGAAACTCACAGGCTAATCTAAAACCTTCAACTTTCTGTCGTATTTTTAAAGGCAAAGCATTTCTTTGCGAACTTCGACAGCTTTGAGAGAGTCTATCTATCTATCTATCTATCTATCTATCTATCTATCTATCTATCTATCTATCTATCTATCTATCTATCTATCTATCTATCTATCTATCTATCTATCTATCTATCTATCTATCTATCTATCTATCTATCTATCTATCTATCTATCTATCTATCTATCTATCTATCTATCTATCTATCTATCTATCTATCTATCTATCTAGCCGCTTAGGACTTTTAGCTCACCTGGCCGTTTCAATAATGGTATCGATACGGTATGCCATAACATTGCTAGTCATAACATGAAAATTATGACATGCATGTCATGATTTACATTTCATGGTTTTTCTGCTCTTGTGGTGGTTTCGTTTACATGACATGTTGCAAAACTGGTATGGTATGACATGACTGCATGGCGAACACAAGTTACAGACCTTAACATAGAAATTATGACATGCGTGTCATGTGACAACATGACTACGTGCCACACTTATGATGCGCTCGCGACCGTTTCGCTTGCTTCACAGATACCAAATTTGGTATTACGGGACGTGAATGAATGACGAAGGTATGTGACTGGTGCAAGCATGATAATTCTGACACGCGTGTCATGTAAGAACATTACAAATTACCACGCTCATGATGTGCTCGTGGTCGTTTCGCTAGCTCCACATATACAAAATTTGGTCTCATGTGACGTGAATGGACGAAGAAAATAAATGACGCGTCTGAACATGATAATAATGATATGCGTGTCATGTAAAACATGACTACATGCTAGCTCATTGCGCAGTCGCGGCAGTTATGCAATCTAAATAAATACAAAAGTTGGTATTTCGTGACGTGAATAGACGACGAAGATAAATTACACGTTCAAACATGATAATCATGAGATGCGTGTCATGTAAGAACATGACTACATGCTACGCTCATAGCACGCTCGCGGCCGTTTCGCTATCTGCACATATACCAAAACTGGCATGAGGTGACGTGAATAAATGACTAAGATAAACAAGACATCCAAACATCATAATCATGACATAGAAGTAGTGCTTGGTATAATTTACCTCCGCCTCGTAACGCTGTGCTGATTTAAAGTGACATATCAACCTTCCTCATTCGTGCTTCGCATGTCATCGATGCCTGCTTTACGTGGGATCTGCCAATTTTTTTGCAGTTCACGAAAGAGCACATATATTTTCTGGTCATACAAACTCAAAACAGAAAGTGCTAAGGGATAACGGGTTCTTTGGTGGGGAGTAGATTGACTTTCGACGGCTGGTGCCCGCTGGCTAAAGGTCCAGAAAGCATTTAATGTGGCGCGCTTTATACGCCTAAACTGTTTAAAATTAAAGGTGCATTAAAATATAGTTAGAAACTTGGCCTGCCTGCCCACATTTATATGGCTGTACAAACGAAGTTTCGCACAAATGTACAAAATCATCGCCAATACTTCTTAACGATGCCACCATATGCCAAGATCCGATATCATCATATACATGTATTGCTACTGTGACGTTACTAATGGTTCTTGCACGAATATAGTACTCGCAAACGGTACCAGGATCGATACCCAGCACCTCCATCACAAACATGTTACGTAAATTGAGAAAATGAGACTAAACGAGACTATTTGTGACTGCATTCACAATGATAGATCAAGATGGAGTAAAGCACGCCAAGTCAGTCAAGTCAAGATCCTTGACGATGTGGCGCATACCCACACCTAGGGGATTGGCCAAGAACCAGATAGTTTTCATATATTTCTTCCTTAATAACAGGTTAAAATTAATCTATTTACGAGAAATAAAAGAAAGATGCAACAAGTTGAATTTGATGGTTGAATTGTATAAATAATCTGTAGTGGAATGCAATAAAGCGTCGTATTTGATTTATTTGCATTTGGAAATTTCAAAATCTACCAAAGAATGATTTCAACACTTAAACCTCTTTGAACTTTTGACGGGCTTCGGTGACGGGCTTCCGTCAACAATCTTCCCATTGCTGAGGCCTAGAGACAAAGCTCGCATAGTGGACCGTCCATTTCTTTTTGTCGTCCTCTGTCGAATGTCTCACATTTGATGTGCTAGTTGCATAGCAATATAAAAATTCGAAATACCCGATCGAGATGGTGATTTATGGAGATTAATTTCATGTTTGATTTCTATTCGTATATATTTTATGCGTAAATAAAAAAAAAGCAGAAGCCTTCAAGAAGACAAATTTGCTTGTCTAAATGTAGACTCGAGAACACAACTCCTGTAACGATTTGTCCACTACATTTTTTTTTTCGAAGTGAAAAAATATTAAGTGGAAAAATCGTTACAGGGGTTGTGTTCTCGAGTCTACATTTAAACAAAAAAAATTAAAAAATAAGAAAATAAAAAACAAAAAATATTTTCTTCATAACCGAACTTTTCAACAGTTCGAGTGGATACGGGGCATCTCACATCTAACAGAATCATATACACGCGATTCGCTGAGCGTGGCGTAGCTCTAAAAGGCACGCCGTCAGCGCCGTTGGTAATCGAAGCTATAACCCGATGTTCCGCAAGAAAAAAAGTCCGTGAACCATCGCAAACCACCACGAGTACCACTGTGCCACCAAGAACCACAGAATAAACGGCTGTCTACCCAATCCTGTCACCATGTGTCACGAGCGCTGTCGTCTTCACCGCCACCACCGGCAGCCACACGCTTCGAGTATCGCGGTGCAATCACCAAGCGCTCATTGTACATGCAAAAGGTAATGAAATGCTCAATATCTGTTAACAACAATGGTTTCTATTGTAAGGTGCACTTAATAGATATTACCTTTTCAGGTTCCCATGTCTTGTTTGGGCACGCGTCATAGTTCGTTGGTGCTTGAGCAACAGCCAGAGGCACTGAAACATGTAACGGAAAAAGTGTATCATAAACCTTAACCCTTGCGCCTTTGAATGCTGTCACAAGAGTACAGACATACGGCCACGCCGTAATGCCATTGGTACTATAATTTAGCCGTAATTCACCACGTCTTTTATATTTTAAGGCTTGCCAAAAAAGGTTCAAGCATTAAAAAAAGATGGTAGCGTGGTGGTAGTGTAAATTAATCACACCCCTCTACGAGCAGACGTGTGGTTTTGAGGGTCGTGATGGTGGTAATGGTGATGTTTCCATAGGCTGGGTTGGCCTGGCGGACCTGATCAGTTATTGCTCCGCCAGAGCGACTCTTCTTATATAGATCGGCTCAGTCTCGCAGATAACGTAAAAGTATGTTAGTCACTTGCTTTCGCATCAACCGCATATACCTGCCAGACGCACGTCTTCGCAGCATCCGGGGGGGGGGGGGGGGGTAACCTTCTGCCTTAATACTAAAAATGTCTCTCTTTCACAGCAAAAATGCTTGCACGACCAGAGGTATGTAGTACTGAATATCTTAGACCTAATTGCATTCAGTGCACAGCGGTCGGGAGGGGGGGGGGGATCCCCCGACTTTATATCAGTGTTCTTATTCTGTATAGCAGAGTTGACTCGGCCCGACTAAGGTCTATCGTGACTAAGTGCTGACGGAACGTATTTCATAGAGAGATGAAATGACATCTAATTGTCTGTTTTGGTGTCGGTTGTCTTAAAGGTACTTGGTTGTCTAGGGCATCTACTCTTTCGTTGGCGCTGACACCAACATGTGAAGACATCCACTAGAAAGTAATGTTGATGCCTTTTTAGTAGCGTCTTTCAGGGATGCTATTGCTACTGGCGGCAGAACTTGTTTGTGGTAGCCCCTCGAGAAAGTTGTTGCACTGCCGACTTACAGTACGAGAGAAAATTAGTTTGTTGGGTAGGCCTATTCTTCACTTTGAGAAGAGCATGCAGCAATAGCCACGCTCTCAGTAACTTTCGAAGAGACTAGGTGGTCCAAGCGACCAGACCATGCAGTTCCAATGAATGGCATCCAGTATGCCGCGGCACAGCTGTTATTGTCGATACTGACGGAACAATTCGTGTATACGTGAGGATGGTTGGACTACATCCTCTCCAAATGCTCGAGTACCAGTAAGCGCACTTCAGAAGACTGAGGACCAGACACTTATCTCATCTTTTTATAACGCTAAATATACCTTAGATATTCTGGATGTTAAAATCCTCAAAAGAAGGTAACAGTAATCCACCTCTGACGCTTCAAAATGCTATATGCGGGCTGAAATTCAAGCGACCAACACCTTCTATAGAAGTGCTTTGGTGGGTCTTCATTGGAGAAAGACATTGTAAACGTCATTAAACGTAAATTTTTCTTTTCCTTTCTTTAAAATGGCATCCAAAGATATCGGCGACTTTGCGAAAATATTGTCGACTGCAACGGGAGCCTTATCGTGGTGTCGCGACTTCTTTGTAAGCAAGTTTAGGAGGCGAATTCATAACTATCGGGATTTCAAACTTTTCCCCACTTGTACAGGGAAACTATTCAAAGCTGACAAATCTGCTTACATTTTTTTAGCTTCAGTAGGAGCCCATACGATGCATTGCTGACTTCGATATACTCGTTTTAAATGACACTTATTTACATGTTACTGAGTTATAAGCCAAGTATTAATGCGCGCGCCCAGTCTGCATGCTGTTCAGTGAACTTTCTTTTGGAAAACAAAAACAAAATATAGAAAAAATCACAGCTTATCTTTGGAGTGAATAATGGTGAGTGGGGCGAAACGTCCGTCAGCCCGTCCATGCCTTCGTCCATCCGTTCGTTCTTGCTTCCGTTCGTCCGCGCGACCATCCGTCTGTCTGTACATGCGTCCGTCCGTGATTCCATCCAACCGTCTGTCCATCTGTCCGTCTGTCTTCTAGTCTGTCTGTCCGTCTGTCCGCGCGTACATCTAGTGAACACTCCAAGTACCACCATCTCGCACTCACTGTGACACATACCCACTCCACGCGTCCGTCCATCCGTTTGCCCGTCTGCTATTCCGTCTGTCCGCCCGTCCATGCGTCCATCCGTGCGTCCATCTAGTGAACACTCCAAGTATCGCCATCTCTCATTTCGCATCCCCTGTGCCACATACCCGCTCTAGAGCGGGTATGCGCCATTGGTGGCTACGTACGACCACAACGGAGGAAGGACAGACTCATACCCTAAAGAGCTTCGCCCCTAAAAATTGATATTTCCTTTTAAGTATCTGGTGAAGTTTTTTTTTTTTGCGTATGTTGTGCACGGAGCTGCCTATGACAAAAAAAAAATAAAAGACGTGTCCATGCGTTAGATTTCACCTCCCTGGTTGCCTTTGGCACTTTGTGTCTATTTTTTCGTTATTGGAGAATCACACATCGTCTCACGAAATCTCTGCGGGTATAGTTATTGATTCACTGAATGAAATATTTCCCTGAAAAAAAACTGTACAACTTAAGTCGAAGCAAAAGAGAAAGGCTTTGCGCAAGCTGATGGAGGCTTTTGCTCTTGAACACCTATAGTTCGTCACGCAGGCGTAGTGCCAGTATGCAGGCAGAATATACACGACTTAATATAATACATTATATTAACAATCTAAGTGTGCTTGTTGATGTCAAAACAATGTTACTTTAACCTCCTACAAAGAAAAAGAAAGTTAATCAGCAGGCACATGTATTCACAATAGCAAAAAGAAGAAACAGCTTGCGCCCGAAGTCAAAACAAAACACACTCAACATGAAACAAGTAGGACCTTCTGGTAAGCCACTAATTTTTATCCTCTTTGCTAAATATAAGTAAATACAGTAAATACGGATGGAGATTTTCTTATTAATAAACGTAACTTCAACACTGCCACGGCTTCCTTGACACTACTATCGGTTCACATTTCAGCGTGTGTTCCAATACTCACTGTAAACGGCTAAATAGACAGCTAAATGGACGGTGGCCATCTTAAATCTCATTTTGATTCTCGCGTAGCCGGTAAAATAGACAGCTCCGAGAAGACCGCATCGTAAACAAATACGATGCAGACTACTTTGCTGTCTAAACAAGATGGCGGCTCAGCGAATCGCTCAGATAGATCAAATCTCGTTGTAATGGTCGTCTGCACACAAGCAGACCCTTTCCCAGACGCTCAATGTGAGTAACATTTATTTGTTTTTTATTTCAACCCGAAATAAGCCAGAAAATACGACTATTACGTTTGTTTATTTTAGCTTTTTCTTCTCGACGCGAGGTGGCGTATTGTCGTGTAAGAACCGTTCAGAAGTGTTCCAGAGCATGAGCTCGGTGCTGTCTTCTAAGCAGTCTGCGTAGACTGTCTTCGTGCTGTCCAAGAATCGGAACACAGCCACTCTCGTTAGAAACTACCGCCACGATTACGCTGCTGTCTCACTCTGCTTTCTGTCCGACCGCATGGTAAAACGACACATCAAACTTAAATATTCTCATTGCAAGAAAAACTGTAACGATGGAATGAATTTATTTAGAAATATATAAGGCTTACAGATGCGTAGTGTATCGCAAAAGACAGTACGGTCAGCTCCGCAGCTACCTGCCCCTCGTGTCTCCATTCTTCTTCCTCGTCTTCGTGACTCCAGCGAATATCTGCAGCGTGACAACTTCACCTGGTGCAGACGAAGCTATCCGAACGAGTTACGTAAACCAAGGTTGTAATGCTTCAGTCGGGCAACGTGAACTGGTTGGGTTCGACGTGAGCGCCAGTTACCACAGGTAACGGTTGTCGGATGTGTGATAAAAACATAACAGTTTTTATACGGCAAGCCTCTTCATGCATAAGCTTTTCAGGGCTCACCGTTTAGAGCTTCTACTTGGTCGGTTTCTCACCACTGATGTTCGTTTTAGTACTGCGCACCTAAGCTTCGGACGACTTGTTGATTGATTTGTGGGGTTCAACGTCCCAAAACCACCATTTGATTATGAGAGACGCCGTAGTGGAGGGCTCCGGAAATTTTGACCACCTGGGGTTCTTTAACGTGCACCCAAATCTGAGTACACGGGCCTACAACATTTCCGCCTCCATCGGAAATGCAGCCAATGGAACCCGCGACCTGCGGTTCGGACCACTTGTATACGACCACATAACTGTTCCGCGACAGGATACAGTTCTGTCCGCTAGCGTGATTACGAATCAATTGATAGCAGATAGAAAGTTACCATCCCAAGTTTCACTCCGTCGAACCAGCAATCGACATAGTCATTGATCCACGGGACCCATCAGGGACCCGTGCGTCCATTCAGCGTCTCGTGATACAACGATAGCATACTACTAAGGGGAATTCTGGCTGTACAATAGTTAAGCTACACCACGAAAGCTATGGCTGATGCCTGTATTTGTGTGATTTTTCGTCATCATCTGTCCATTGCATGAAATGTGGAAAATAAAATTTTTGAGCCCTTTCCCATAGAGAAAATGGCGGACACGCGAATCTTGGCTTGTGCGTGCCTAATATAGTACCACTTTTCTTTCTTTCTTCCTTCTTTTCTTTTTTGTTTCTTTCTAAGACATTGCGCAATGCTCCTTCCTGACTTTTTCCTTTCTCCACGCGGGGAATAGGACCTTCACCACCGTGCTTCTCAATACAAGCCAAAACCAGAGTCCCACGTGCAACAATGAAGTGCAACGATGAAAGACAACAATGTATTGTGGCAAGGTGAAATGACAAATGACTGCTATAAGATATAAAATACCCATATCACAGTGGTGCAGCAGCAATGAAGTATTGCACAAAATAAGAATTAAATGTTAAAACAATAAATAATGAATAGTATCGTGTACAATTCCTACACTTTCTCCACCTCGACCACCAGCAAGTTTTACTACGAAACACGAATAGATTGTGGATCCAATAAGCTTGGTGCTTCAATACTTCAAGGTGATAAGTAATAAGTTAACAAGCGTGAATTCGACGGGAAAAAAAGGCTTAGTCTTCAGAACGCACCATTTCTCGTTTCAGCTATTTTCACTAAATTTATACAGATAGATTTACTAAGTTATGTACAAAATCTCTGAACGCACGATTAAAAGCAAGAAATAGAAGCGTAAAACACTTACGGAGCGCAAATAGAAAGTAGAAGAATCCCATTGTGAGTGTCACACATGAGAAGCACGGTGGCGCTCGCCTACTTCACTGGCTTTCACTCAAGGCGAGCTTACCTTTCCTTTTATTTGTGCTCTTCCCTCTGCCTGTTACCACGTTGTAAAATATTAAATTAAGGTGTACTCATTTGCAGCATAAGAAACAAAAGCCGCGTCTGATAAAAGGCATTTTGTGAACGAACTTTCAGGAACATTTTAACAATCTGTACCTCAAAAGCCGTCATTCAACTTGTCATTCGCGCATGCGGATCAGCCCTGCGTACTGTTCTGATTAGTTATATACAGTGGATCGTATGTGGCACGGCTACTTTGCATGAGTAGCCCCGCGGCGGTGGTCTGGTGGCTAAAATACTCGGCTGCTCACCCGCAGGTCGTGGGATCAAATCCCGGCTGCGGCGGCTGCCTTTTTGATGGAGGCGAAAATGCTGTAGGCCCCTGTGCTCAGATTTGGGTGCACGTTATAGAACCCCAGCTGGTCTAAATTTTCGGAGTCCTTCACTACGGCGTCTCTCATATTCATATTGTGGTTTTAATGTTAAACTTCACATGTCATTATTACTTTCTATGAGTAGTGTGAGAATCTTCTTTAGTTCAACTCTCCCGATATTACAGCTAACGTATTGCCATTCATCTAGTCGAAAGTTTAAGACTACCTTACAAGGTTTTGCGGTAATTATGTGCAGCAGGTATGTAAATTTTGTCTCAAAATATGTCTTTTTGTACAGTACTATTCCAACGAGTGTCATTCGTGCCACGTATGTATGCCGTGACAATTTCGCTCATTTCTATCTGTTCTTTCAGTATATGTAAAATAGCATAAATGCACACTAAAAAAAGAAAAGGTCAGTCCTCTGAAATTTGCCTCTTGGTACGCCAGATGTTCTCAAACACACTTGAAGGTCCACAAGATGACAAGTACTTAACATTGAAGATGCCAAGACGTTTTTTAGCAACAGTTCACATAATGTCATCCGCCACTTCACCATCTTTCTCTTTATTACACGTCAAGATACCTCTCCTTCACCTGTCAATGTGTAAAATATTGATGCTTAATACAACAGCCAAAATGACAGTGAACTTATCTTTGATTCGAGCATTATGATGAAGGAAGTGATAAAACAAAGGTCGTACATAGCTTTTTTATTATAACCTGCACATAATGCTGTGATCGGGTGCATCAGACATACACGTAAATAAAAGGCAATGAAAGGATGAGGACACAGCAGAATATAAGCAAGAAGCATTCAGTATTCAAGTGCTTAGTGTTACACTATAGTGTAGCGATAAATATTGCGCTGAATTGAGAGAACGCCGAAGATAACTTACTATGAGGTGGCCGCTACAGCGTTAAAAAAAGAACGATTCATTCTGTTGTCTACATAAGGACTTATGTATGGTTTCTTTTTGTTCTTTTTCTCACTAATTCTCCTGCCGCACGATTCTTGGCCGATCCTCTTGGTGGGTTGAGCCACTCCCCAACCGACCGACCAACTGACTGACTGACCGATGCGCATACCGAGCAGACGCGAAGTGAACACTTTAGTAAACAGTTAATAAAACAGATATCGTTATCCATCACAAAGCGTTTTGCAGGACAGCACTCATGACCACCTCGCAATCATAACCGCTGGGCAGGAACACTGAGCACTGAGCATACTGAGTACCCTTGCGACGGCACATTACACTGCATTTGCGCTCCAACTGCCTCCAAAAGCACCATCCTCTTCACAAATGAATAATAATAATTCAACAATAACGATACTGCCTAATGCAAAATTCTGAGCACACCTTCGTGCTGCGGTAAGGCCTAAATTGTGTTTGAAGCTTTGGCTTTCCGCAGCCATGTACCATACATCCTCTAGCGCGAACGGTAAGCTAGACAGAGACAGAGAGAGAGAAAAAGGTTGAGTGAAAGACATGGAGGTTAACCAGACGAAATGTTCCGGTTTGCTACCCTGCACTGGGGATAAGGAAATGGGTATGAAAATGTAAGGAGAGGGAAAGGGGGGAAAGGAACGGTTAAATAAAAAAGAAAACGCGCACACACTCAAGCACAGGCGTGTCACAGTCGTTTTGCGAGTCCGCTTGACTGCACAAACTTCAGAAGAGCCTTCGTTGCTTTCTGGCTGGAAGGCCTAACGTTCCGGCACTCCAAACTTCAAAACTGTTTGCTCTGAAAGCAGCCGGTCATATAGCCGTGCTAACGTTGCCGAAAGCTGTTGTCTTTGTGAGCAATAATGAAAACAGTCACAAAGGACGTGCGCAATCGTTTCCTCACTGCCACAGTGATCACACACAGCACTGCAGTCAGCCATCCCGATTCGGTAAGCAAAACTGCTCGTGAATCACACTCCAAGCTATGCTACAATTTATATTAAAAGAACGCTGGTGGCCTGGATAATAAAATTTGTCAATAAACGTAAAAGAAAATCACAGCATATCCACGAACGGAATGATGATGCCCCTCCGTCCGTCCGTCCATCCGTCCGTCCGTCCGTCTGTCTGTTTGTCTGTTCATATGTCTGTCGGTCTATCCGTGCATCCATCCTACCGTCCATCTAGTGAACACTTCGAGTACCACCATCTCGCATCTTTCCATCATATATTCATCATATATAAGTTCCGCGATCCAGCGGACATTCCAAGGACTAAAGGAGAGGTGGCTACCTACTTTTACTACTACATACATCGAGGACGCACGACCCACGGCTTAAGGAGCTTCGCCCCTAAAAATAAGCCTTAACTATGTTTTGCTTTATGCGTAAGCTGCAAAGTTGCAGACTGGTCTTATGAAAAACCTCGCACCGGAAGGTCATATTCCAAAAGCAATAGAGTCATGAGAAGGAGCTTGCAAAATTTAGTTTTTTTTTCATTAACGTGTGGTGATTTTTTAAGGGGGACCCCTAGTATCAATATTTTCACCTCTTAAAACATAGGCTGTGTCATACACTAACGGTGGATTAAAAAGAGATTCTAGTTATCGAATGTAAAATCACATCTCAAAATGAAATTACAAATAAAAATCACAGCATATCCACGGAGTACATGATGATGAGTGGAGCGAAACGTCCATCAGTCCATCCGTTCGTTCTTACTGCCGTCATGCCGTGCGTCCGTCTGTGCGACCGTCCCTGCGTCCATCCGTTCCTGCGTTCTTTCATCTGTCTGTGTGTCCATGCGAGCGTCCGTCCCTGCGTTCGTCCATGCGTTTATCTATCCATGCGTCCATCCATCCGCCTGTGCATCTGTCCGTCCGTCTAGTGAACACTCCAAGCACAACCATCTCGCATGTTTTTGTCATATATTATTCATATATAGCAGTACCGCCATCCAGCGGACATTCCAAAGACTAAGCAAGAAGAGGTGGCATGGCGGGACTCGGGGAGCGGCAAGCGCGCACTCTCTTACGGCCTGCGCTTCGTGTCTAGTTCCCGCCTTTCACCACATGACACAGTTCATGACACAGCGGCCCAACATCGCAAAACTTTGCTAAAACCCAGGAGATTACGCCCACCGAGTTTAACGTGGCATTCTTCTTTGGTCAGATAGTTCTCAAAGTGTGTCCTTCTGTTACTAGTTTTTCTTAGTAAGCAACAAATTAGAGGCAAACTTTATTGGAAATTGACTCATTGATAGCCGTCTTTGCGGGTTAGTTCATCAGAAACAACAATATTTTTTATTTAAGGTTAACGTGCGCGAGTTTCCTCCTCAATTCAAAAGAGTACGCGTGTGCCGCGCCTCTAGTCCAGTCGTCGAGGTGACTACCTACTACTACTACTACTACTACTACTACTACATACATTGTGGACGCACTACCCATGGCATAAGGAGCTTTGCCCCTAAAATAGCTATATCTGGCTGCAAATTTGCAGTCAGATATAGGCATTTTAGGGGCAAAGCTCCTTATGCCATGGGTCATGCGAGGGCAGAGTGATTAATCGCTCTGCCCTCGGTTGTCTCTGGTTACATTTGGGCTACAGTTTCTTGTGCTTGTGTCGCTGATGGAGGCATTTGTGTTGTCTTGACTACTCTCTTATATACACTTTTCCACGTCGTTTTTTAGAGTAGCCCGAAACAGCCTCTAAAAAAAACAAAAAAAAACAAGCGCGGTATTCATTTTTGGTGTTCCTGCCTTTTGGCAATTTTGTCACGCCCGAATGGTGATCCATGCGACGTTAATAGGATACATACTCTCGATTGTTCTATATACGAGAAGTATCAGACGGGATTGTCTCCCACACATTCTCACGCAATTGCCCACCTGTTCTTCCTTGTGTCGCATGACTAACGTGCGTGACCAACTAATTTCACTCGATTTTGTAGGTTTCCACTTGTGCAAGCGGAGATAACAGAATACGGCCATTAGTCGAAAAATCCTGATAGGCTGAACGCTTAGTACTCTCTCTCTCTCTCTCTCTCTCTCTCTTTCTCTCTGACCATGGAGTTTCCTAAAATTAACTGGAGGCCTGGGACTCTGGCGCTGCGCTCGCTGGATTCCGTGCCGACCGGTTATGCCCTCCCGATCTCCGACGACAGTGCAGCTCTGGCCGACTGCGCTGGTCCTACGCCAACTCCAGACGCCACTCCCCGACGACGACGTCAGCGTAGCTCTGGCCGACTGGATTAGCCCTACGCCATCTCCTGTCGCCGACAAGAGCTCTCACCAGTGGTGCCCCATCGTCGGACTCCTGCAACCGTGTCCTACTTTCCTGTCTTCTCCTCACTTCCGTGGTTCGCTGTCCCTGTGTCTCACTCTCTCCTTACTCTCTCTCTCTCTCTCTATCTCTCTACCTTTTAATCCTATCCTTTTAATTTCTTCTCTACATCATCCCACGTGAGCTACTGTTGAGGTGTCCTCCCCCTGAGAGACAGTTACGGGGCTCACTTTTCTCTTCATTTAAAATCACTGCCCCCTCCTCGATCATTCAGCGACCATGGGGATAATGGGTAGTACACGGATTTGTCTAATCTTCGTTCTTGCGGGCGACGAATCGTACTTCTGACTTGATTTGTGGATGTGTTTCAGTTTTGTTTTAAATGAAAGAACGAACCCTTTTGAACTTCGTGACCCAATTT